CTGAGTTCAAGGCAGGCCTTAAGGTCAGTCTGGCAGTCAGCAGCCAACTCCAGATTTAGGTTCAGGGTCTCAACTGAATCCTGCCTTCTGGGGTCCTCAGTCTGCCTGAGGTCTATAGAGGGTGCCTTGGATGGATTTGGGGTTCCACTGGAGGAGGCTTGCTGGCAGCTTTCCACCCAGAGGAGTGAAGACAAGCCACGTGGCAGGAAGGGGAGAGTACCACGAGCAAACACCAGACAGGTCAAAGGCCCTGGGCATTTTGGGCTAAAGAAGATTGGGGCAGGGAATTGGGTTTCCTACAGTGGGAAGAGCAGGAGAGACAGCAGGTGGGCTGGGCAGTGCGGGAGCCTTCCAGGGCAGTGACAGACAGCTGACAGCTGGACGCAGGTGCTCCTGCTTTTTGTGGGGGCCTGAGAAGTCAGAGGAGAGGGACTGTTCACGCCCTTTTCCTCGCCATCTCATGACAGCAAAACAGCAGCCTGATGGCAGTCTTGCCTTGCTTCTTGCCCAGACTGTGACAAGTCGGCTCTGCCTTACAGGTGAAATGAAGGTGCGAGCTGGGGTTGGGGGGTCCCCTTTTACCTCAGTTAAGTGGATAACTCAGGTGACTGGGGTTTTTTTGTCTCCACTTGCCGAACAGTTCCTTCAACCCATTTTGCTTTTCTGTGGAGTCGAGTTTGTTGACCTGAAGTGTCCTGTGGTGTTGGGGGGTGGTGGGGGACAGGCGATGGAGCCAGGGCACACAGCCAGCCCCTAACACACAGGCCTGGGCAGGTGTGGTCACGGGTGGCCAGGGCACCCCAGCATCTCCTGAGGCTTAGGTCTGTGTGGGTATTGGAGGTGAGCATGGCCAGAGGGTGTTGCTCTCTTGGCTCGGGACGATGACGACTCTAGAGTCCTGGAACTGATCGATACCCAGTGCTACCTCATGATTCCACGGCTGGGACTTTATTATCTGCCTTCAATCCAGTCCCCTATTTCTGTTTCCTTTCACGCCTGAATTGGGGTTTGGCTTCTCCAGCTTGCTGTACATCTTCTGTTAAAGTACAGACTGCTGGGCCCCACCCCAGGGTCCGATTCGGGAGGTCCGGGTGGGCCCATGAACTTGTGTTTCTAGCTGGCTCAGGCATGCTGGTGCTGCTGGCCCACAGGTGCAGGTTGAGTGGCCCAGTCACACACCCCAGGTCTCCTGCCTCCCTCCCTACTTCCCCTCCAGCTGCCCCCAGCTGTTCCCCACTTAGCACCCAGGGGAGCTTTGCAAATGTAACCAGATGACATCAAACCCTGCCGTGACCCTCTGGGGTCTCTCACTGCTTTTAGAATTAATGGCTTGGTCCCACCCACCTCTCCTGCCCCATTCGCATCCTCCCCGTTGGTCTTGCTGCATCCAGTGCCCTCCAAATTCAGTCCTGCCTCAGGGCCTTGGCACGTTCTTCCCTCTGCCTTAAACTCTCTTCCCACAAGTCTTTGCACAGCTGGCCCTTTGCCATTCAGGGCTCTGCTCAAAGTCACCTCCGTGAAACCATCCTCTAAATACTGTCCCCAAGTAGCCTTTTCTACTGAACACTCTGTTTTCCCATTTTCTTTGTGACTTTAGCCTGTTTTATAATGAACACGTCTTCGTGTGGTTATTTGTCTACAGTCTGTCACCCTGCTGGTCATCCAAGTAGCCTTTTCTACTGAACACTCTGTTTTCCCATTTTCTTTGTGACTTTAGCATGTTTTATAATGAACACGTCTTCGTGTGGTTATTTGTCTACAGTCTGTCACCCTGCTGGTCATAAAGTCCCTCATGGACAGGAATCTGTCTGTCGTCCACTGCTGAATCCCCAGTGAAGAGCCATGCCGGGACCGAGGGGGTGCTCAGCAAATCCCAGGGGGGAGTGAATGAATGAAGGAAGGAGGGAAGGAAGGCAGAACGGCCGAGTGGGAGCTCCGTGCTTACCCTGAGCAGCCGCGGTCAATGGTAGAGCATGAATGTAGCTCAGTGTGGCCTCCCACCATTTTTCTTTTAAAAGAATAAGAAAAAACAAAAAATGAAACAAAACAAGTAGTAGCCCCTTTGCGTACCAGCTGGGGTGGGGCCCGTGCTGTGCCGGGGAGCAGTGACAGAGGCCAGTGTCCTGAGAAGGATGGCCCCTTTGTCCTCTGTGGGGTGGCCCAGGGCTCGTCTGCAGGATATGCACAATGGTTTTCTCTGACGCCTCAGAGGGAGCTCTTGGAGGCCTTGGGCAGAGGGTCCCGGCCCTCCATGGTGATGTGCTCCAGGCTCCAGCTCCCCGTGGTCTTGCCCTGCAGCAGAGCCTTCCTGCCCCCTCTTTGGGGATGTGCCCCAGGAAAGTTGGGGTTGCAGCTGCCATGGGCTGGCTCTGCTGAGAGTTACCCTTCTCTGTTCCCAGGGTCCCCTGTACTCTTTGGCAGGTGATGGGGGGTGGGATGTCCTGCCACCTGCCAGGGCAGACATTTGAGGGATGGCTTCC